AAGTCAAATGAGCATTGCGGCACTAAACTCATTAAAAGCTAACGTGAAAATGTTTTTTTTTAATTCGGACAAAAAATGCAAATGTTACCCAGTAGTCTAGTGTTCGCCTAGGCAATTATGCAAGACAGAAGTATATTAACGTAAGTACCAGGTTTTGAAGCAATTTTTTGAATAGCCTAGGAGTGCGTAGCGAAGAAACAAACAAACATTGTCATTTATATATATATATGTAATGTCGAATATAAACGTAAATAACTGATCGATTTACGTTACATTGATGTTTTACTGTGTAAAGATAAACGGTTAGATGTATCAGGACTTTTTATTTGTCTGCAAATGGCATTTGTAACATGCCATCTTCACTCTGGAGTGTCATTTTCGTGTTTACTTTGTATTTGTTTTCCTTCTCTTCTGAAGCTCTGCATGTAACGAAGCTCTGACAGTTTGGATAGTTATAAAACTTTATCATCCTCACTCGTACACATAGAACTTAAATCATTGGCGTAGCGTGGGAGTCAGCCACCCCCTTATTTAGGTATCTCAATTTAAAAGGCTAAAATTTAGTTTCTTCACAGAATAAGTAATGAAAAATTCCTTGCTCATTTCGATCGGTCCGAATAGTAGTTGCGACAACAATATGAAATGAAATGGTTCAAATTTTTACAAGATATTATTATTATTATTTATTGTGAAATTTTGCCGCCCCCTAAAAAGTGCCGCTTCTCTACGCTACGCTACTGACTTAAACAATTTGGAAAACAAGATATTAATATATCATCGCTTGCATAAATACTGTTGTTAAAAAACTTTTTTTTTATTGCATCGACTGCATGATGCACTACAAGATGTATTATACTCTTATGATGAAAATCGCAACTTTCCAACTTTTTTAATACAAACAAAAGATATAGTCGTTTTAACTGGGCAGCTGAGTAGTTTGAATGACTGAAACTAATAACCACAGGTTGTGAATTCGCGATTCCTCAACCATTTGATATTTGGAATTGAAAGTCTTTCCGAAAGGCAATGCGGTTAGAAAAATCTTCGATGTGTTACGAAAGATTAATTCAGTTTTATTCAGCTAGTATTGTATACTGTAAGATACTTTTACCGAAAAAATCTCTATTAACATGTATAATAACTGAAAGACAGAAAATAAAAAAACACGGGCATGGTAATTGGTCTGAGTTTTCATGAAACGTTGTAGATATTGATATTTCGAAGTCAATTTCACTATTTACCGAATACGTCATTTGTGTTTTATACTGATATTAATATTTTTAATTATAACGTATATATATTTTTTCAATTAAGGACCGATTCCTGTCTACAGAAAATAATTCGAGAAAGATTTAAATCTTGTACTGTGTTGACAATAGCCCACAGATTAAATACAATCATCGATTCGGATAGAGTTCTGGTAAGATTCTTCTTTTTGATGATATATAAATAATTAATATAAAAATAAATGTTTTGTTAATTAGATATTTTAAAATTTTAGGTACTAGATACCGGGAAATTACAAGAATTTGACTCGCCGTATGCCTTACTGAAGAACGTAAACGGTATATTTTATAACTTGGTTAAGAAGACGGGAGTAACTTCAATGAATGAATTATACAAAATTGCCAAAGCGAAATATTACGCTAAAGAAAGGGTCGAACAAACAAAACTATAAAACAGTGGATTGTATTCAATGTATATCCGTCTTTTACAGATCCGGTGTTACGTTTTTTATTTAATCCTGTTCTTAGAAATATTAAGTCAAGTTCTTAAACATTAAGTTAGTATTTTCGCACATCAAGTAAAATATAAAATTAATTTTACGTTTTACTTGACATGTTTTACTTGACATGATATTTAACATTTGTGAGTTTGTTAAATTTATCTATGGTAAACATCATTGAAAGTAATCAGAAGGTTTAGCAGATAATGGTTTTAGGAATACTTACAATGGTTAATTTAAGAATTGAAGTGAATTTTCAAGTATTAAAAAACAGTAAATGAGTTTAATTTAAATAATTTAATACAAGTTTTGTTTATGAATTCCATTAGGAAAATCTTAATCGAAAATATAATTCTAATTCTAAATATGTATCCCAGCAAAAATTTGCATCACGATAAGTAAAAATAAAATTAGCCAAAATTTTTTTGAATTGGTTTGCTTTTGAATTATTTTTATTCCAATATCTAATAATTAATCGGTCTATGTCACTTATATCTTAAAAGTAAACTTAAATAGTCTATTTCGTTTAATATTTCGGAATGAGGTAATGATCAAGGAACGAAATTTAACACGGTAGCTTGTATGTAATGGACATCCATTGCATTAAATTTTGGTGGTTAAACGACAACGTGGTGCAAAGATAGAAGGATGTCGTGTTATATTTCGAATGGGGTCAAATTTAATCAGGAACTTTTTTGCTTGATAGCATTTACGAATTTTTGGTAAAAACCTATCTCAAAATTCAAAACTCAGCGTTTTTGCTATTTTATAATTACAATATAACAACTATATGTTTTTTTAAACAAAATATCATATTTGAAATAGCGCAGCAGAAAATGTTAACTTTATATTCATATAAAATCTTCATGAAAGTTCCAGGTTTTCTGAACACAAATAAAACGCTAAACCTTTACACTTTAAAATAAATTTATATATATAAAAATGAATGTACGTCTGTCCTTCATGCATTACCACACCGTTTATCCGATTGCCATGAAACTTTGGGAAGTTAGTACAAATTGTAAAAATTATTATCGCATATTAAGTTTATATGAAGCAATAAATTGAACTGAAAAGTTTTCTAAATATGAAAATCTTTTCGTAAGAAATGAATTGAAGAGTTTGCTAAATATTAAAATTATTTATAATTTTAATTTACTCGAGAAATTTCTGATCTCAAAATAATTTATATCCTAAAAATTAATTTAAAAATTATTACGTGCAGAAATGTCTTTGTTAAGATAAACTGAAAGAAAAACTGGAAACACTTAAATAAAAACCTTTTCAAAATAATTTCAGTGTTATATTATTTCAAACTGTCATGTACCCAAATATTAAGACAAATATCCATCGAGAAAATAATTAATTCTAGTATTGATAATAAAACTATTACTCGAGAAATTATTTGTAATCTTAATTTATAAAATATCAGAAATTAGACCATGAGTATGACATGTTTTAGATAAAGTGAATGAAAAAACATTTCATAATGAATACAAAAACTCTGGCTTACTGTTAAAATAACATTAATTTAATTCCAATTTGTAATTAGAAAATTAATTTTGTGATTAGGATGTGTCAAACAACGACTACTGGTATTCATTTTATGTGACTTTATTTTTAAATATGAGAACACATCGCGAAGTATTTTACTTTCAAAATAAATGACATGTAGTCGTCTTCGTAATATCTGTAAAGAAAGAAAGCGACAAGCCTTTTTCAATTAACATTTTATAGCCTGATCTTTCACAAGCAAATCCTAACTGTAAAGCCTATTAATTGTATTATTTTTTTCATTTTATTTCCCGTGTTGACACGTTTCTAAGGTCTGTTATTTGATCAGGGTTGAAAATTATTTTCATGTTTAAACTCTATGTGTTGACTCTAGAGTTTAATTTTCTTTTCTCTTTATATTCTTCTAAATTTTTTGCACTATTTTAACTCTAATGCATTATGCAATTGAGATTACAATTCATTAATTTGTTTTGATTTTGATGACAGTGGCTGGCTAACGAGATTGCTACAGTCCCGAAATACTAGACAAGATGTCTGATTATCTTCATCTTCGTTCGTACATTGACATTCATCACTGTTTTCTTCAAAATGAAAGAACAGAATGTGTAATAAGAAAAAAACAAAATATTATAAATTTATATTATAAATATACCTGTAGTGGGCTGCATAGATGTCATAAAACCAAATTTGTAGCATACCTGTGTCTAAGGTCTAATAAAACCAAATCTATAGGCTCATAATTGTTTCTATGCCCTATTTTTGGTCCAGAGCATTTACTTCTCTTATGTGCAGATCTGTGAAAAAATAGCGCAGGGAATTTTTTTTCACCCTTCCTGTGATTCTCATACTGAACTTTCTCAAAATGAGCCTATGCGAGTTGATTGTAAATATTTACATTTCAATAAATAAATAAATTTGTAAAGATTAAAATATATTAATGTGAAATGTTCAATTAAATAGGCAGGCAAAGCAGAAGTCCTTTCTTATAAATATTCTGATTATTACCTCACAAAAAACTGCATGTTTTCCAGAAATCCATAATATTTTATTTCCATCCAGTCTTTTTACTTTAATTGCCTTTTTTTCTGTAGCTTCATTACTAAGAAATCGATGCAGGTTGAATTTGGGAACTCTGTTTGAGAAATTAACGGCTGAACAACCCAGCATGATTTATCTTTAAGTGAGAGATATAACAGCGGTATAGATGTATCGGCAGATCTAAAGGCTAAAATAATGATTTCTAATGTCAGTATAGCAAAGTAAGAACTAACTTGATGTTTAGAATCTATTTTGAATCGGATTTACTTAGTATATGGCGTTTCCAATTCCGTTATTTATCGTAATAAACGTCTACTTAACACTCACTCGTCATAAGCAGATCCCATGTGGGCCTCATTATGACGTCCATAAAGTTCATGGCAGTAGAAATCATATTTTGACTCTCAGTTGATCATGGTCTGTTTATATAGGGTTCTAATATTATGCATAGACTTTAATTCAAAAACATAGTGACAAAAACTGTATTTTCACTGGACGTACAAATTAATTAGATAAAATGCAATATAAATTACGAAATTCATAATAGCTCTCGCGCTGTAAGTGCAATTACGCAGACAACAAAGCAAAAAGTGTTATTCAATATCGAAATGTACAGGTTCATATAATGGCGGATTTAGCATTGGAGAGGGCCCAGGCGCAATTCAATTTTCAGGTAATTGTACATGGTGTATATAAACCGCAATTTCATTTCTTTACAACATATTTCAAATTACTTTACAAAATAAAATTACAAAACTGTCGATTGCTGAAAAATTCTTTTGTAAACAGTTTGCATTTGTCTTTAACTTCTTCATTTAATAAAAATACACTAACGTAAAAAGAATGTAAATCTAATGCCTATAACACGTTATAATTGCTATTCACCTTTCTATATATAAGAGTGCAAAAAGCTATTTTTAACTTAATTAAAAATACATATTANCGGCTGTTTGAAAGGTTTCTTCCATAAAATTAATCGATTCTAGACTAATTCGACTCAACATTTCCAAAATACGTATAATTTTTTGGGAATAACCCGTATAAACTATGATATAAATAAAAAATTGTAGGATTACTTACTAAGTGCGCACCGTTCGACGATGCCGTTGCTTAAGCTTGTTTTCGTCGCGGAGCGGCGCATCGAACGGCGCTCGCGTGCTTCCTGATAAATTATTATTTTTGCGAAAAATTCGCTGAACTTTGGAGACATCATTAATATAAATATAATTTTTATGGGCGTTAAATAATAAATGTTTTTTGATAGGTTCGCTGCTCGTTTAAACTTAACGGTTTGTGCAATCCTGTCGCGACACGAGTTGGCGATGACGTTTTACCGAACTATAGGAGTTTTTTTAGCATGTGTATACGAATACTGTCTCAATTTTTACGCCCTGATATAGGAATTCGAACTATAGGAACCCGTGTTATAGGGGGATCGACTGTATATAAAATTTGACATTTTTCGTTATATTTTGTGTTTATATATCACAATTTTTATTTATTTATTTTTTACTTTTTGATACTGTATTCACTTGAAACTTTCGTTGTAAGTCAATAGTTAAAAGTCACTAAATATTAAATGGAATTTCAATGAATAAACAGGTAATGTCGTGTGGTTGTCGCACTTCCTGCACTGATATAGACAGAAATTAATTAGGTTGTTACAGTTGGAAAACAAAATACTAACATAGCTTGTTACAGTATAACACTTTCGACTCAAACCACCTGCATGCCACTTGCTATCCGTCAGAGTAATACTATAGCACAGCGGTCACCAAATGCATCATAGTGGTCCGCAGGATTTGAAATTATCAGTGTGGTGGTCAGTTCACAAACTAATTACAAGTTCACAAAACATTTTTTCTAATTGTCGGCACTACATGTAAAGCCAGTAATTCGGACGTAGGTAAAAGTGAATTGATATACACAAATTAAATCAATATTTTGGGGTTATGTAGGATACCAGATAGGCGACATCGAAAAACTCGAGACGATGTTTATCGATGTAATTAGCCTGGGCGAGCTGTTTTAGCACTAATACGTCACAGATGAAAGAGTATAAGTGATTTATTGTGGAGAAAGAAAAAAAATATGAAGGAAAGTACAGATAAAAAAAATGTAATAAAAAATTTAATTAACGAAACTAAAGTAAATAAATAAAGTAAACTAAACTAAAAGATAAGAAAGAGAAGAACAATAAAATAAAATCAATTCGCATTCAAGTGGGAAAAGTATTGAAAAAATTGGAGTCGCTTGTTAAAAGCATCTGTATTTGAGATTTTGTCCAGTGTGGACTGAGGGAACTGTCTCTGAAACATAATGTCGGTGAGTTGCTTGACACGACAAATAAATATTTAAAATAGTTACGTAAATGTTGAAAATATTCGATGGGATGAGAGAAAGAAGTTGAGCGTAACTGCGGATGTGTTGATAAAAGGAAATGAGATATTCTTTAAATCGGTACAAGCTCGGGCATTCAGACACAGCAGAGGTAATCGAAGAGCTAGGTAACGTGGTACTATCTAACGGGATGAGGGACGTAAATCTGTTTTTCCTTAATTAATTAAAACTCAGATTCAAAGGTAGTTCATCTGATATTCACCAATCCCTGCAGTTATATAGAGAAACTATCTCGCTTTATACTCCAATAAACAGCACCCAAACATGCGAAAATACTTTTCGTTGTTAAGCGTCAAAGGTACGAAAGTCGACATTTTCGTTTTTTTAATATATCTTTTGACAATGTTAATTACATTTTTCAAAAGTAATTTATGCGCACGACAAAAGTCAAATGAGCATTGCGGCACTAAACTCATTAAAAGCTAACGTGAAAATGTTTTTTTTTAATTCGGACAAAAAATGCAAATGTTACCCAGT